ATTTCCAACTATGTGTATATAATAGCCAATAATAGCGGATTTTTCCACCTTCTCCCTTTCCCCCTCTCCTCTTATCCTGCGATATACAATGTGGAGCCGTTCATATGTTTATTCTTCAATTACATTTCTGGTTTTATAATTATTGAGTTGTATATACATAAGTAATTTTGCTTATTTATAACATTTAATTATTTTAGTTTTATATTTTATTTTATCTCAAAACCAAAAATTTCTGTTTCCTTTATATATAGAATAGCTAGTCACTCAACACTTTGTCTAATCTTAATATGATTTTATATATAATTTTGTGATAAAAATATAAAATGTTTTTTCTCAATTATATATCTATGATAATTTAGGTGTTCTATATATAGACTATATAAATAGGCTATATTAAACTATATGCAAGTAACAATAGCTAACTATTTTTCTATAAGTAGTTTATATTTACTCTCTTTTTATATATATTTAATAAAAATACCTATGCAGCTTATATTTTTAATATTTTAAAACAGTTTATTTTAGTTTTTAATTAACTTTTTATTGATTACCTTCTAATTCCATTATTATTCACTTAATATTGTTTAACATTATTATTCCACTGACATAAAAATTATAATTAACAAGTCGATAAAAATATATAAGAATATAAAAATTGGAAAGAAATTTGTGTGTTTATTGAGAAAAAGTATAGAATCTATTTCTTGGTAAATTGTTTGTATTGTTTCATTGTAATATTGTTTCTTGTTTCTTTTGTGTATTATTTATATTATTTGTATTAGTTATTTTTTTATAAAAACCTTGTTATTTCATTATTATTTTGTATTTCCATAAATGTTTATGGAAATATTCCACCAATTGAAAACTTTCTCCGGAAAAGAATTGACCTCTTATTTTTTCATATGGTATGTTAGGAAAGATGAATCGTTTGTTCTTTTTTGACGAATTCTGAACTAGTTCTGAATTAATAGAATATAGGTCTGTTTTTTGTAGCTGAATTAGTGTACACTCAAGGTGAGAAAGATATACGTTTGATATTTGTTTAAAGCAAGAAAGAGAGTTCTAGAACAGTTTAGTGCAGAAACTGAAAACAGACCATATGTTAGAGTGAAACAAACCATACCTGTGTCACTCTAACTTAACTGCATCAGTGTACACCAGTTCAGAATTTGGTGTCGAAAAAGAATAGTGGCAAATGATTAAGATTATATTATCTTGCATTTTACTATTTAAATTATCTATTAATATACTTATATATTTAAAGCATTGTCTTTCACATAGTAATCAGATCCGGAAATGTTGAATCTGCATTCGTTATTAAATAAAAATAAACTTCAAAATTTTACATGATCTTATTAGCCTTATCTAAATACATTTTTTATCGCTTCTGCAAAAATATCTATGCATTTTGTTCTTTTGTGACTATTTTTTTATTTTCCTTTTTATCATGTGATCATTCTTAAAAATTAATACAAATAAATAAAAAAAATTTTTTTAACCGATTGTTTAGTTTAAAGTATTTTTTTTATTTGCATTAATTTTTGTGCGTTAATTTTAATGTTATAACAATTCCAAAACTCGTAATAAAATAAATTGTTATAACATTAAAATTAACGTAAATAAATAAAACAAACATTTTAAACAATCCGTTTAAAGAATTTTTTTATTTATTTGCGTTAATTTTCAAGAATAATCATAAAATAAAAAGGAAAATAAAGAAAATTAGAAAAGAACAAAATACATAAATACTTTTGCAGAAGCGATAAAAAATGCATATAAAGAAGTATTTAAAATAATATTAATTCTTTCAATACTGCACGCGCGTAATGAAATTTCATTTATTGTGAATGACTTATATATATTCAAAATTTTCAATTTATGTGCTACTAAATTTATTCACTATATTTTACTTGCTAAAATTAATTTTTGTTACAGTTTTTTTAGTGAATTTGTTTCTCTTTTAATTTCATAATTAACTTACGAATTGAAATTGACATTCTATTTATTAAAATTGTTTTAAACTTTATTTATCTCTCAATACGAAACTAATACAAGGTATTACCTTACCTGTGTACTTTGTTCTAATCTAATGTTTTCGTCGTATTATTTTCATTTAAACTGAATGATGAGAGTTATTTAAATATGAATTTGTTTAATTTAATTTTAACATATTTGTGTATGAAAATGAAAAATTACGTATATATATTTATATATATGTATGTACACACAAAAAAAAATATATATATATACCAACACGTATCTCCAAGTGTAACAAATAATTATATTTACTTAAAAAATAAGAAAGATTGTTCCTTAATTCTTATGTGTGACTACCACCTTCATTAATATTTATTAATTCTTTATTTAAACTTATAGAACTAATACAAAGATATAATATGACTTTTTAATTTGGATCATAATATGATTACGATCATTAAGACATTAAGAATATAATTTTTTTTAACGATAAGTTGAAGACTAAAAGTTCGAGATTTATTGTAGTTTATCAAGTTACCGCAATTTCCGCCTTTCCTCTTGATGCTTTTATTAATAAGCTTTGCTCACACCGATTACCTCATTTAATCTCACGTAGCGCAGATTCAACATTCCGAGAGCACGTTGAACCAGTATGCGTCGTTTGACCTATAACACTAGCATGTTTGTCTGAGGTGATATTGTCCAATTTTTTAAATTCAAAAACAGTATACATTATCAATGCTCAAAAAACAGATAAGTAGATCTTAAATGATAACATAATATTCGACAAACATGAAAAACGATTCTTCTTTTCAAAACGGCAGGATTATATAAGAACTATCAATTAAAAATCTATTAAAATATGATCAGTGAAACTATTCTTAATTTTTTAAATAATTGTACTAAAAAAAATTACTGCTTCCTCTCTATATATGTAAAGTTTTTCAATTATTATAATAACTTTTTGATGAAGTTAAAAAAATACATAAAAAGAATATATTTTCTTCTATTTGATTATGTAACGCAACGCAATGCAATGCAATGCAATGCAATGCAATGCAATGCAATTTTTCTATGTACCAGTTTCAATTCATTTTATATTGAACGATTCTATATGTATAATTTCATTTTTTTATTTTTTCCTTTTTTCTTTGCACTATAAATGTTGTAGCATAGTTTCGTCCATGTTTGTTTTTTTATTTCTAAAAGTAATTGCGATTTGAGCTGTTTTCGTCGCTTTTTTAAAATTCAAACCAATAGCACACAATTTCAAACATTTTAAACATTTTGCTCCTATATAATATATCTACTCTCTGTCTAACACTCTCAAGAAACTTTTGATTCGATATCTTAAAAAATATGCCAAACTGTTCAAAATTTCATCTTATTTCAGAAGCTTACTTTCACCCGTCAGTTTGATTGCGATTTACAACTGAATTGTATCTTGTAATTGAATTATATTGAAATTTCGATAAGTTTTTAACGTATATTGATATTATTATCTAAAACTTTTGACAAAAGATTAGTAATTTCTTATCAAAATCAGTTTAATCTTTCTATTTCGGATATTATCATGAAGGTATAGGTTGCAATTATATACAGAATAGTTCTCTCTATTTGCGGATTTGTTCATACATATATTTTTTTTCATCGATTTCATTAATTAGTAGAATGTATCAAGCATTTGGTCAAATTTTAAAAACGTGGTCATACATATTCCGTTTTGAACATTCGTATGAGAATTTCATGTGCCGATTTAAACACGATAATTTTTTGTTTGTTTCTGTTGACCTAAAAATCATATCAGCCGGTTCTTACATATCGCTTGAGATAACAATAAAATCGTTAATAAAAATGCTGCAAACATATGTAAAATGATTATATTGTAGAGAGATTCCATCTTAACTATATAGTCCAGTCGTCAGAGATCTGACATCTAAAAATGATCCGACCTGGCTGAAATTTTGTGTGAATGTACATTAGTAGTCCCCAAAAAAGATGCAAAAAAGTTTACCACTCGTACCCCCGGGCTTCTTCAGAAATTGCCCCCTAAAGGGGGTAAAAAACGGAAAACATCGATTTCCCAGAAATCTGTGCATGGAAAAAAAAAGTTTCAAACAAAAAATGTAGCTGACACGATTTTGAACAAAAAAGTTCCTTACCACTTTCTTTATAAAGTGAACCATTCTCAGAAAAAATGACTCAAGTAACGAGTTATTTTGAGTGTCAGTTGCGCGCGAGAAATGAAATATTTGAAAAAATTTTTATCAAGTACACGGTAAATATTCAATAACTTTTGTTCCCAGTAACCTACAGGGACAAATAAAAACGCATTTTAAAGGGGAAGAGTTCAGCTTTCTGATAGAACAATAATATTTTACCACAAATGAAGTAAGATTGTTCAAATCTGTTAATGAAATGAAGGTTTCGAG